GAGATTCATCGGCGGGTCCCCGCCAATGATTTATGCCACTTTTTTTTTCCTTACCGCAGCGACAAGTTGTCTTTGTCGTCGTTAGATATACGTGCTATGCATGCGTGCATGCGTTTCTATCGTTTTTTACTGAGAAACAGTTGAAGACAAAAATTAATATTTTTTTCTCTCGTATACCTTTTACGTGCTTTAGCGGTGACTTTCTTATCTCATTCTGTGTTAAATATTATTTAGAACAATTTATTCAGATATGCGTATTGTTAGATACGATTTGTTAAATATATTGCTATATATGATGCAGCTATAATTTATAAGGACTGGATCAATTGAGAAGAATTTTTACATCTCTGGAATGTGAATTTTTCCTGAATATTAACATTTTCTTGATAAATTTTAATTTAGTATAAGTATTGAAACACATCTTAATAATTTTAGAGTTTTAAGCACTTCTTTAGACTTCTTTAAAAACATATTCTTTAGACTTTATTTTAATATGTGCAAATAAGATACTTTCGATTTCAACTAATTGCAAATGAACTGCATTAACAGAATTAATATTAATTGAATATTAATATCAAAATTTTATTAAAATATTTTACATATTACGGTATACGCACAGAGAAAGAGAAGGAAAAAGAGAAAGATTATATAACTGAAAAAATATATGAAGCATATGACAATCATATATTGAATGCAACAGACGTCATCGGACTATATTAGTCGCAATGCTTCACATTTTTATGTGAGGTAACTTTTTTACAATACAACAGACACAATACTTTTCCAAACCACAACGAAAAAAGCGCGCTCCCAATAAATTCAGTAGAATTAGGCAGAAATCTGCGATATTTGTAGCCGCCTGATCCATCATCGGTCATTGACGGATATACAATGAAACTTCAGAAAGCAATAATACCAGCGATGCACCCACGATCGCTCATGTTTTTTTTTTTTCATTTCCATCGGAACAGACCAATTTCTAACGATTGTACATACACAAGGTACGAAACTATCACGCAAAAAATACGTTTGATGGATCTGTTACTACTCCGTTTTGTAACACGGACACTCAATTAAATGTGTCTATCCTGTCTTAGATTTTTGACGATATTATATGAAAAAATATGATGTGCAAAATATTGCATTCCAAAATAAAAGTAAAAGTTCATTTAAGTGGAATCTCTTATATATATATTTATATTAATATAAAATAATTTAGATTATAACTTGATTTATAGCTCGTTTAAAAAAAATTATATAGATTATTTGTAGAATCATATGAAGATAAATATGTTTGTAACAAAGATTTATTATATAATGCGAAGCAATAATACCAGCGATGCACCCACGATCGCTCATGTTTTTTTTTTTTTCATTTCCATCGGAACAGACCAATTTCTAACGATTGTACATACACAAGGTACGAAACTATCACGCAAAAAATACGTTTGATGGATCTGTTACTACTCCGTTTTGTAACACGGACACTCAATTAAATGTGTCTATCCTGTCTTAGATTTTTGACGATATTATATGAAAAAATATGATGTGCAAAATATTGCATTCCAAAATAAAAGTAAAAGTTCATTTAAGTGGAATCTCTTATATATATATTTATATTAATATAAAATAATTTAGATTATAACTTGATTTATAGCTCGTTTAAAAAAAATTATATAGATTATTTGTAGAATCATATGAAGATAAATATGTTTGTAACAAAGATTTATTATATAATGCGTTAATTCAGAATTATTAATTCTTGCATAAATCGCGAATATTCCAATAAATATTCGGCAGATGGAATAGATCCTACCATTCATTGATCGGAGGAAATACGCGATCCCGAATTGAGGCAACAACTACAAACCTTCGTTTTGCTTATTGCAGAAAGACGCAACTTAAGCCTGACACACAAATATCAGTAGCCATAACTCGTTGTTGTGACTTCCGTCGTTCCAAATAAGACGGATCGGGAAGAATTCCGTAAAAGGAATACCGTAGTAACTTCGAGGACTGATCGATCCATCATCAGACTAACATAACTTCTGCATTTAAACGGCGCGTACGCGAGAAAAGGAGAAAAGTGTCTTGACGCTGTCGCAAGATTCCGAAATATCCTTTGAATTTTTTTTTTCGGCTAGACCAATCGTCGAAATTGTTTCACACGTTATCTCTAACCAGATTGACAGATGTTAAAAACAATGATGCAAGAAGAAAATAGTAAAATTTATATAACAGTATGATACTTGAAATTTTTGGAACAAAAAATCGAACAGATCAAGCCTACTTTAGACAATCTATAATTTGCAGCAGAATATATAATTTTTAGATGAATATTTATATGCAATTTAAAAGTAAATCTTTATTTTTTTTCAAGAGATTACAAGTAATATCTTTACATATCTCCAAAAGAGAGAGAGAGAGAGGAGAAGTTTGATTTATCAACATATATAGAGCACTTACCTATTTTTGACAAGTTAGCTAGAAAAGATAATAATGAGAAAGAAGAGAGAAATAGGGAGAGAGGATCCGTTTTATATCAGGGAGAAGACCGTGAATTACTAAATCGCGGCATCACGGAGATCGTATGATCGCGCAAGGCTCAGGCAACGGGACCTTCGCAAAACGGGCGACGGCGATGATGTCGCGACGAATGCGACAAAGGGCAGAGCCCAGGATCAATGGCCCCCGGCCGGTTTTGTAGGAACATCGTTTTGACAGAAGGGTGTCGTCACAGTCGGTGGAAGCGAGACGTCCGACGAAAGCGGGAAGGGTGGGTGGCGAACGCGGCTCTCTTCGTTTCTGAGGGTAACGCGAGATCTTTCTCTCTCTCCCTCCTCGAGTGTTACAATAAATCAACGGCGCGCTTTTGCGAAGCTCCACCCTCGGAGACCTTTGCCGTATATAAGCAGTATATCCCATACATGATGCGACACCCCGTACCATGACGGTCCGACTCTGTCTGCCTTGGTCCTCATTGTGTCTAAAGTGGCCTGTCCGTCGATTTTGGAACGGATCGCTTTCTATAAACAATTTATTCTTTCAGCTCGCGTGACCGACCGTGAACGATTCGCATCGGGCTAAGTATTAACGAAATTAAGTAGCAGATAGATGACTCGCGTTTCGTTAGAATTGTTATTTATTCATAATTATTTATTTTTCTTCACTTATTAGTTAAAATCATTAACATAACTTGACATTTTTTAAGCAAAAATTTATTGCGATTTAACTATAGAATTCGTAAAAGAAAGCAAACTCAAAAAATTTTGTATTTGAATTTATCTTTTGAAAATTTCAAGCATTTAAGAAAGCTTTTAAATTAATGTTTAAATGTAACTTGTATATCTTTGCAAATATATTCTCGTTAACGTTTAAATGTAATTTCATTTTTAGCCAATGAAAATTGTATCTTTGTTGAGATCTTTTTTGTTACTAATATTAAAAATATTCATAGCACATAAATATCACAAATAAAAATTACTTGTTAATATCTTTTTTATTATGGTGCATAACATTATGAATAAACGGCGATAATAATAATTGAATCAGTAAATAACGTCTGAGAGTAAGAAATCGGATAATATCTTATTCTGGCGATATCTTCCACGCTTACACAAGGGTTGTCGGGGATCACAATCCTTCCGCGGCCAATAATCGGCGTCGATCACAAATTTCGTGTCACGGGCGTGCCTAGTTTGAGAGAACCGGCATGTTTGAGCGAACGGGGTGGACCCGCGATATAGGCCCTGCGACCCTTCGATATCGTTCGTTCATTCGTATCGGTTCTGCATCGGCTTTTTCCGACTCCCCTGTTTCGTCCGCGCTTTGACTTTCCACGCCGATCGTCCGTATTCCTCCCTACGTCCGCACTCGTGCTCCCTCGTGACAAAAAGGGCGAGAGCCCCGTGGCCGCAGCGACCGATTAATTCACTACAAAGGGGCTGCGTATCGCGCATCGAGCCCTCGACAGGCCCCTCTAAACCCACCTTCGGCCCTACTGCCAAGGGCGTCCTAGCTCTTATCCTTCTCCCGCCGACGCTTTTCGGGGGACGAACCGATCCTCCCTCCATAAAGAGGATTGGTTCGACCCCCGAAAGGCCGTTGGTAGCGGGAAATATTTCTATATAAGGTCGGGGTGAGCTTAGATTCGTGCTTAGTGAGTTTCGGACAATCCGTAGCACTGTCGCGCTGATTATCCTATGTCCGCGAACGAGCGACGACGGTGAAGTTTCATAAGTGGCGATTGAAGTATTCACTGTTTTTGAACTTCCGCTAAGTCTCCAAAGATGTCCGAGTTGAGGACCAGCGGCTTCTTTCGACCTTGGCATATTCCGGAGACCACGAACGAAGCTTCCGGGATTATCACCGTCGATGATACGCTCCATGACACGTCGTGCAACAGACAGGAGGACGACGTGTCTTCGGCGACATCGACAACTTCCACAACAAGCTCGACCACCGTGGAAACATCCGAAAAATATAACGATCGTCTCTTGAATCGAGATACGGCAGACTCGACATCGTTAAACGTTCGTCATCGCCGTTGCGCGAGGAGACGTCGGGGAAGTGAGTCCTCCGACGACGTCGCGACTAGTACTACGCCTTCCCTTGAAGGCGAGGACATCGTTGGGAGTACCGTGAAAAATGCGAGGAACAAATCACGTGCCTTCCGTTCGCAGCAGCCAGTCGATTCGACGGCTCCCGCGGTTCCCGCTCGCGATCCGGACGTGTTTAACGGTTCCAGTGATGTTAGTCCTCTGGAGTATCTCTCGACATTTGAATTCCGACGACCGGAGGCTTTCGCATCGATAAGCGATGGAACTTATTCGATGGCGAATTCAGATATCGCTGGACCATCATCGGCCGCGAACTCGATGATCCCCGAGTTGTACTACGCCTTTACTGACTTTCATTCCGGGATTCATCCCGGAATTCATCCCGGAATACAATCTGTGGTTCAACCGGGGATTCTTCCTTCGGATTTTTATAATCGTTCCATGGAGGAAGCGGTGCAAATAGTGCACCGACAGGATGCTGTCGCCAAACAAATGAAAAAGATGCGTCCAAAGAAATTTCGCTGCCAGTACTGCGACGTCGCGTTCAGCAACAACGGCCAACTTAAGGGACACGTTCGCATACACACTGGTATATTGAAATTTTTTATATAATTTATTTGCACCAGTTATATGTATATGTAATCATTTGTTGAGTAAGAAAAAATAGCGATGCGTATAGAAAACATTTGTTGGAGAACATCTTTTTGAATGTTTTTAAAATGATTTTCTTTTATAATGATTTTAATTTTCGATCCAAATAATTTTAATTTCTATCTTTTTTTATTTTACACATTTTACATATACAAGATTTTTCAATATAATTTATCTACACAAAATATACTTGCTGGAGAAAATATATATAACGATGCATACAGAAAATATTTTTTTGAGAATATCTCTCTCTCTCTCTGAACATTTTCAGAAGATTGTTTTTTTTTCTTAATAATTTTAATTTTCAAGTAAAGTAATTCAAATCTCGGCTTTTTTATTTTTTTTTTATAATATAGGTCTTTAAAGAAAGTTACGGAAAATAAATAACGATTATAAATATCGATGTATCAGCAATTGCATCTTCCTAATATCACTCAGCAACGAAAAATATAGAGAAAGTAATTTATAAGCATTGAAAATTAGTATTCATACTCACTGATGTATTTAATGTATATCGCGCCTCCACTCATCGAGTTTTTTATTATTTAAATAATCACAATCATGTTAAGCAAATTTTTATTCAAGTAATAAATTTGTTCGCATACATCCATGTCTCCTCTTTTTGAAAAAAATATTATCGGCAGTCATTATCACAAGATTATACCGAGGCACAAATAATCACATTTGAATATAAATATAACATGCATTTCCATTTGTTACAGGGGAGAGACCGTTCAAATGCGACGTGGAATCCTGCGGAAAGTCGTTCACCAGGAACGAAGAATTAACGCGACACAAGCGGATCCATACCGGTGTTCGGCCTCACTCTTGCGTCGTTTGCGGCAAACGATTTGGACGTAAGGACCATCTGAAGAAGCACACGAGAACCCACGAAGTTCGCGATCCGTATCGCGTTTCGGCGGCGGCATTAGGCATGTTCGCCCTGGGCCATCCGTTTCAGCAAGCTACCGGACTTCCGCCATACATTTACCAGATCTGACGTCGGGGATTTGCCGGTAAAAAGTTCTAACATAACGATCCGTTTGACAAATTTGAAATTTTTGTACAGGGTATCCGTCTAGTATATATTACACTGCGAAATATATTATACGCTATATTTTGTACGATGTTAGGTGCCTCTCGGTTGTCTTGAGAGTTTTGAATGGCACTGAAATATTTTCGATACTATCATTTACATTTAAAGAAAGATTTGCTACGTGCCGCCACGAACTTCAGAGGGAAAATTTGCGAAAAACGTTTCGCAATATCTTTTAACAAATGGGTTCCGCATCTCTCAACTATTATTACGTATTTTCCTGCAACGTGATGGCAATGTAGCGTAATGTAATGAATATATGAATGTAAATACTTATATATAATATAATGTAGATATATAGTCTCAGAGAATGCATACACATTTTATTATATATTTATTATTATTATATAATATATATTAGATTTGTTATATATTTGAGATGGATTTATTGTTATAATTATATGAAACAAATATTTACAAATTAATATCGCTTAGTCTTCATTTCGTATTTATTCTCCTTAACGAGAATAGATATTTCCAAAAATTTCCCAATATACATTTATAACACATTATAATTACATCGCTTTGATACAGACTTGTTACATTATTTGCCTTCGAAATAATGTTAATTCGTAAAGCATAGATGTGAAATGAATGCATCGACTTTATCATTAGACAAGCAATATTTTATTTCTACAACAATTGAATATTTAAGTTGAACGTAATGATTTTATATTTATGCTATATTCTTAAAATATTTCCATAAAGAATTTTTATTAATATTTATACGATGACACATGATCAATTGTATAATATTAGAAATTTACAACGATAATGTCCATTGCTTTTAATGATGTTACCTATATTACAGCTAAAAATAGTAATTGCAATATTTTTTTCGGTAAATCTCCACACTATTTCTCACCCAGATGAATACATATTTAAATCAAGCAGCAATATAACGCGTCCATCAACGTTACCATCAGGACCACCACCATTTTCCCGGCGATTGAATTCAAGATGGCGTCACCAACTGCAACCCCTCAGATAATAGAGAATCCCCTTGCTCGTTTATACGATGCGCTGTAAAGGACGTAGGGGGAAGAACAGTGGGTTGCGCCCTTTCGTCCTCGAGAACGCACGCATGGTTACCATACGCGTGTTTGTGTCTGTATTCTTTTTCCGCCTTTTTTTCATTACAATACGTTTTTATGGGATGTTTCGCGGTTGCGTCTGTAATTTTGAGGGAAATACGAAAGGGTGAACTGAGGGGTTAAAAAGTTGGTCGTGATTAATATTTTTCAAAAATTCTGTATGTATTCTGTTCGAGTCTTTCGTTTTTATTACTATTAAAGTTTTACAATAGTTTGCAAAATATGTTTCATGAATACATATTCTAAAAGTTAATGATATCATATATTTTCTTTTTATTTTATATATAACTTATAAAAAAAAAGAAGAAAAGAAAGAGGACATTAGTGAAAAAAAGTTTTAATATATCGTTTAAAGTAATATAATTTAGAAAAGAATACGATTTTATCATCTCTACTTGAGCGTCTTAATTCATTTAACGTACCTTTTCTTTTAATCATTATTCCCATTAAAATGAAAATTATCGTTTTGGCATTTTTAATCTTTTTTCCAATTTCAAGTCTAATTTAACGGATTTCATATAGATAAAACGTATTATAAGATAGTGTGTTGACATCCATAACACGGATACGAGATCGCAACTGGCAAAATTGAATAATCCGGGAGCTGCTGCGGTAGCTTAACGTTAAGTGTGTCAGATTCTCACACGGAGAGTTTCGGTAGCAGAGTTTTCGATAGAGGAAACCCCGCTGGGACATTCGTCCAAGCTCGTTGACACCCCCCTACTGTCCTACAGATATATGACTGCGAGCCCTCTAAAGTTCTTTCTCTAGAGCATGAATCTTTCTCCCCGCTATATTTCTCTCTCTTTTTCTCTCTTGATTCACTATGCTGAGTTTCATTGTCCTTTTCCGAGGGTGCAAAACTTTTCAAACATTTTCTTAATAAGCGATTTTTAGTTCCTTTCAGACAAATGTTTTTGCCTAATTTTGTTTTTTCAATTTTCTATTTAAAAAAAGAAGTGCCAAGAATGTATTGATTTCAAATTTCACTTTCCAAGCTAGCGTTCCTCTCGCTTTATTCGTCTTTTTTCTGTTTTTTTTTTTTTTTACCGTCCTCTTCAGGTAGTTCACCGTCGATCCGGTCTGTCGCAGACCTCATTATCGGAGGGTGGCTTTAGGCTAAATGATTGCTTAAACGCGTCCGGATTACAGTCCGGATTACGCCTACCTTAATCTCAGATTACATAGTCTATCACCATTAAGCCACCATTTGACACGAAGAGAGATTTGCTGCCGCTAATGTTGTATTTTTCACCCAACACAAAGGGATTGTTTTCGCTTAAATTTATTTTTATAAGACGCAAGAAGAGAGTAAAAATTTCACAAACTTATTCAAATTATAATAACTTTTCTATATGCAATTTGGCAGTTTGACTATTTTCAACATTAAAACTGGAGAATAGCTGAAAATGAACATTCAGAATACAGCGACCTGTTCATTGTAAACCATTTTCTAAAAATTCAGACACATTTTTGTCTGAATTTTTAGGTGTCTGAGAAAAATTTCAAATAATCTGTATTAATCATCAGAATAGTTTTTCTAAAAATTTAAAAGAGTCTGAACATTCAGACAACATTCTGTCTAAAATTTTAGACAGTGTGTCTGCAAGCACTTTGTCTAAAGTTTCAGTCAGTTTTTTTACAATGTTATTTTTTCACTAATTGATCGAATTGGCTATTACATCCACAACACGTTATGCATACTCGTGTATTTCGTATAACGGTTGGATTCAGTTATCGCGAGTAACGTTTATATCACTCTCTACCTGAACCGAATTTACAACCGTTGAAAACGATTCGTAATCCCCGTCGTAATAGCTGTCGCGCCGAGGAAATCGCTGTCATCGAATACAAATTCTTCCGTTTTCCGTCGTCGTCGTTCATTCTTCTCGCCTCCTCCCGTCGATGCGCGTCCAAATATCATCTGTGTCGACCGTGTCTTTCGCGCAGCAACGCACGCCGCGGGTGGGCCTGTATATGTCGGAATGTTTGCCCGCGTCATTGTTGCGCGTTCTGACACTCGATACGAATTCTCCCGACCCGGTTTTAAAAAGCGTTTAGGTGCCCCTTATAGCCGGTCCACCTTCCCTTCTGCCTTTACGCGACATATTCCGCTTTTACGTCCCGTACGGATCAAACGCACTTTCTCAGATGCATGTGCAGAGGACGAGCGTATTCTCGCGCTCACCGGGAAGCACACCCGGGGCGCCGCTGACTTTCTGATATATGGATCTCTGTGTATCCATTACTATGGCAAAACACGGTACCAAAAATTCCTCCTACGATACGTTTTCTAATTTAATTTTTTTTTCTATTTTTTCTATTTTTTTCTATTTCTTACTACGATTATTAACGATTATTAATTGTGTTATTAATTTTTGAAAGATTTAGGGAATTATCGATATTTATATTTACGGATTATGGTATTAAAATTGGAATTATTGGCGAAGAAATTGAGAGATGCTTAGTTTGACCAACGTTATATATTTACCAAAAAGGCCCATTCATGCTAGGCGGAAGTACGCCTCGTTCTACCTCGTCACAAGGAGGTGCGGCTTTTGCACGCGTTCATATTGAGAAGTGGTATATAGAGGCTATTTGTCGCGCTTGTTAGATCCCATGCACGCTTATGTAGCACTTGTCAAAAGCTAGTTGTTAGTTATTATAAACATCGCTACTTAGAATTCATTATTAGATTTAATCATGAATAGGTATACATCAGCATGTAGACATAATTCGTTTGAGTGGTTCCCACTTATTGTTAGACCTTATTTAACGATCATTTAGTGACTATTTATACACTTATAACATCTACTACACATTTGTTTTTAGAAAACTGTTACAAATCCAAATTGAAAAAAATACATTTATCGAAAAGAACTACTCGAAAACAGAAGCAAGTTAAAATATTGTGTTCTATAAAATAAAAAAGTCTTAAGAGTAAAAAGATTCAAAATATTTTATATAAAACTTATTGTGCGTATTGACTGCTTCATCACGAGAAATCCTCTAGATTGTATTATGATTTACTGACAGCCTATAAGCAAATGTTAGCTTTCGAATGGGTTCGTTTAATAATAATCTATTCATATCAAAAAAATAAATATTGTCTATCAGAGAGAAATAAAACTATAAAATAAATGAAATAAATAGATGATTAAAAATCCATAAATCGATATACTGTATACATAATTAATGTATTTTTATAGATACCTTTTTATTCTGGAATTCTCCATCGTTATAGAAACTCTTATGAATGTCCATAAAAATGATTAGGAATATTGAATTATAAAATGGAAAATTTAATTACAGTTTATTAATTAGTTAAATTAGCCAAGTCTTAAGAGTAAAAAGATTCAAAATATTTTATATAAAACTTATTGTGCGTATTGACTGCTTCATCACGAGAAATCCTCTAGATTGTATTATGATTTACTGACAGCCTATAAGCAAATGTTAGCTTTCGAATGGGTTCGTTTAATAATAATCTATTCATATCAAAAAAATAAATATTGTCTATCAGAGAGAAATAAAACTATAAAATAAATGAAATAAATAGATGATTAAAAATCCATAAATCGATATACTGTATACATAATTAATGTATTTTTATAGATACCTTTTTATTCTGGAATTCTCCATCGTTATAGAAACTCTTATGAATGTCCATAAAAATGATTAGGAATATTGAATTATAAAATGGAAAATTTAATTACAGTTTATTAATTAGTTAAATTAGCCGAAGTAATATTGTTGAAACTGTTAATAAGATTATTCCAATTTAGAATTTTATTGCTTTTGCACAAGCGTTTCGAGAAACAGCTTCTACAACCCTTAAATTATGTCAGGAGACACATTGCGCCACTGAATCACACGATTTTTCATTTAAATCGGAGTATTAATAAATCCAAGACCAAGAAAAGCATATTGGATCGATTGAAAAATCACGCTGCTCAAAGTCTTCGGCTTATCATTATATGCGTCAATGGAACGGCTCGATTTCGGGTCGCGTACTCTTCACTGAGGAATCATCGTCTTTTTTTTCTTCTCCATTATCCTTCCCATTCTTCTGAGACTGTCGGGCGTCAAAAAATGGGGGCTTTAGTGTGGGCGGGTGGCTATTCGAATCTCCAAGGAGAGATGAATGAAAGCCAGAAGTCCATTCACGGGCGCACCTGACTCCGAGCGTCGAGTCGTGAGAATCGATCCGTAGATTTTTCAAGATCTCTTTCTTCCGCGTTCTGGGGCACTCCGTTTGAACATCTTCGGGAATAAAGAGTGCGATGCACGGCAATTTTCTCCGCAGCGACGTTCCTCGTCCCACGATTACGTTTGTGTTGCGCCTGCACGGCTACATTTTACGTACGTCGTTCTTATATCGAAAACATATCGTCACTTTTATGGTTCGTCGGCTCATCTTTATCAGATTTATTTTTAATAATAAATGCTTTTATTGACTGGCTATCGATTTAGTGAAAATAGCGAGTTATTGATAGTTTGGCGATTATAAGTAGTCAAATATAAAACTTGCAAGAGCTTTGTAGTAATATAATAAATCTTATTTTTTCTTTAAAAAAATGATATATTTGATACGCGGTATTAGAATAAATTATGATAATGTTATGTTGTTAGTATAATAATTATCTTCAGAAATAGAGAGAGCTCAATTAATAAATTCAAATATATAGAAGTTTTAAACATATAATAAATATGCGATAATTTTCAAAAACTTGGTAAAAAATTGGTTTTACTTAAGATCGATCTGAGAGCCAACAAAAGATTATCCCCAAAAAAGCGGCGTTCAGCACCTGTCGCAGTATTTTGTATGAACTCGTTCCTATCATTCTGAAACTATATACCTGATCCGAAACAAATTAAGCGCATACAATGAAAAATTCAGTAGAGCCGTTGACTACCGAACTCTTTATTCTCGTACGTTCCGGAAATTTAATTCGACACGCATTAATCTGCACCATGTTGATAGCCTAAGAAAGATTGATTTCGTGAGAATATGCAGTGGATCTCTTATTGTACATCTTCTATTGAAACCCATATAGAAAATAATTATGTAGCATCATTATCTGTGTTCACTTTTTCAAAAAAAGTGGAAACTGAGAATTATTTAATATTTTGATTCGATAGTTAAGCGAGAATTTTCTTATGCGATAAATCTATTTATTTTCATTGATTGAAATTAGAAGCAATATGAGATATGATTAAAGTTTTTTGTATTTTTTTATAATATTTATCTTTCACTATGTCTTTTTATTAAAATTTTCTATTTTTATTTTTTAGTTCAAAAGAAATTAAAAAAAAAACCTTTGTATACGTAAAGATATTATAGAGAGTGCTACTATTATATATAATATTACAGAAATGATAGAATGTCAAATTAAAAATTAAAAGCAAAAAAAAGTAAATAAGTGTTTCGGCATTTTCTTATAAAATTTATCTTTCTTATTCGTCATTTTCCTCATCTGCTTCTTTGTCAATGTCGATCTGCTCGTCGTTTTCTTCAATTTTATCTTCGTATTCCTCTAATTTCTCAGACAAGTCTGTGAGATGTTTCTTCTTCTTATCTTTCCTGGGTAGCCACGGTCGCGGTGCTCGAAACTCAAGATCAATCTTCTGCTTTTTATCGCCACTATCGCAGTGCTTTCTGATTCTCAGTAAGAATATATTCGGATTCTCTTCCAGATCAATTAGTCTTTTTACTTTTGATCTTCTATTTCTCTCGCTTTCCAGGTGAGAAGCTGCAGAAATTTGTCCAATGTTATCGCCATCTTTTACATTCGGATACAACATGAGCGTACGACATCCCGTCTCCTCTCGATCGCGGATTTTCTTCATCGATGACGTATCTTCCCGAGAAGTACGACAGAGTTCCAAACTTCCATTGGCCATGTCGAACGCAATGCCGTCATCGCATTTTTTTAAGTTGGACGCCGATTCTTTTACATCTACCTGGCCGACGCATTCGCACGGAGGATCGTACTCTTCTTTGACCGACTCCTTGTGCATCCTGATGATGACACGATTGTCATTGATGACAGCTTCGATCTCTTTGTACGGCTGTCTTTTTCTAACAATCTCCGATACAATTTTGTCAGTCGGAGCTTGTTCCTTGTTTGACATTTCGAGTTTCTTCTTCAACCTCGATTCGCTTCTGCTCTTTGAAGACTGCTTGCTCATGCTATCTTTTGACATGGAAGTTGTCGTAGCACTTATCGGTCTTCGTGAAGAGATCCTGGATACATTTATGGGACAACAATTGGAGCATTTCGGAGGGATCGATGATAAGTACGGGGATGGAATATACTGTGGATATGACGGAGCATAACGAGAATTTTTTAAATCAATGCGGCAGGGAACTTTGTCTCTGGATATGATGCGTTTCGGTTTTTCGATAGTTTTAGATTGCACGTAGCATTGACCCGCGTGTCCTCGCGATTGATACGAAGAACTGGATGGACGAAAGCAGCAAGGTGAACAAGGTGCTTGCAATCCGGTTGATCCAGCGATCAATGAAGGCTTCTTCAATATAGGACAGCCGCAATTGTAAGTTGTTACAATCATCCTTGCTATTTCTGTTTCATTATGAATGCAAATAGCTGAGCTTGTTGGATCACATGATGGAGTATGGAATTTCGAGTAAATTTAGGTCGAGTTATATTGGGATAACGACATGTTAATGATTTGTTGAAAAAAGCATGGATCTGCGACATGAATTTGTTTTCTGATGCGTAATGAATATGCCTGTTTGAAGAATCGATTTTAGCAAACTATACGAATCATAACCACATCTTCAAAAATGGGACGTTAAATAAATAGATATGTTTTGCCTTCAATAAAGATTACTTCCCGCAAACTCAAAATTGCAAGTGAAAATGCAGTCTTCTAACGATACAAGTAAATATAAAAACAGATTTTTATTAACTAAAAACAGGTTTTGATTAAAATTATATTCAAGAATTAGCCCTTGCCTTGGAATTTAACGCTTAATGAGATAAATAATATTTTTCTAATAAGAAATGCAGATGTTTATATTATAAGATCATCTAAAAACACTTTAACAAGATGTGTGCCTCTGTCCTCCAATGTCCCATCTGACACCCTCGTCATCTACACTCGCTAAGGATGCCTACTCAAAATATTACCAAGAGATCGGAGCAGAGATGATTAGCAACCAGCTCATCATTAGATTAGAAAAAGATAAAAATAGACAAAGAAAGAAACGGGCAGAATGGGACCCACCTTGCGATTGCGTCGAAATTCAAAGACCGACAAGCAAAAGGGGTCCCAAGATAATCAACGCAGATTGTGATGACCGCATTGTATTTCGCGTCCACTCGGCATCCCGTTTCAATGAAAAGAAGGAATCTCCTTATAAGTCACAAACAATCGGCTATAAGGTTTGTCCTCGTGTCTCTTCAAATTTCAAGAAATTGATAATTCATCACTTAATAAAAAACAGATCAATGTTTCGATTCGTATATTATAAGTCAGAAAAAACTTAAATTTTTTAACATTTCATAAACTCTCAATCTTTCCAATATAAAATTTTTATTAAAAGAAAAATTCATAGTAAAAAAAAAGTATTAAAATAAAAGATAAAAAAGACAATTTTTAATCATAATTTTGATCCGTTTCCCGAAAAGAATATGTGATTTAAATTCCTGTAGATCGGATCGTGCAGGGACGAACAGGATAGCCATCAATGCAAGACCATCACGGTTTATCCGCAATTTACCTCAGGGTCTCAAGAAGTATACAGTGATCACATAACAGAGGGCAATCAAAATATCTTCTTACTAAGGATAAAAAAGAAAGCGGAAGATTCTGAACAAAAAAATAGGAACGTCGAACTTGAACTAAGAACGCCTAAACCGCCAACGCTGTTACCTGCACCTGCGCCTACACCTGTATCTGCAGTTGCACCATCGCAACCCGTTGTCGATTCAATTGTAGAAAATGTACAGAAACCGGACATGCCGGAGAAAATTATAAAGCAACCGGCAAAAGTGTCCAAAAGCAAACAAAAAAAGAAAAGAAAGTAACAGCTTAACAGTATTACATTGGTAACGTTTCCACATATTTTGTTCTCGTTATAAATCATATTAAATAATTTAAAATAGAAATCTAATGTAATAGTACCAAATTATGTAAAAATCTAATGAAAAAAATAGGACTAATGATTTCAATATAGTTTTTCATATTCTATATTTTACACTAATGATTTCAATATCCTTTTCCATGTTCTATATTTTGCACATTTAATTTTATAAATTTATATATGTTTCCTTCAGTTTATTTAATACTTATGTAAAGAATGCATTTATTTCATTAGAGTTTATAGAAGGAGAAGATATTTGCGATATCAGTCGAGACAGTAAATTGAAAATCAGTGTAACTCGAAAAATTTTCCGGGATTTTAAGGAACATGAATATCATGAATCTGGACCGGGTTTATTGGTAGCCGCATCGATGACATTCTGAAGAAAAGACTAGAATTTCCTCAATGACTATGTAGATGGAATCCTCAATACATGCCAGATAGGCGTGAATGCGTAAAGACGTGCGAAACTCAATGTGCGCCCGGTTCATTCATCCTTTCCAACCGACCAACCGTGCAAAACCGTTTCGTTACGGCTCGCCAGATGAGCCTCCCGTTCGGGACTATTTCCTATCTTCCTCGTGACTCCTTTCCTCCTCGTACAAAGTCTCAATGGGCCTTACGACGATCGATAGCATAGCGTGTCTCTGGAGACCGCATTGTTGAATCCTACGGCATTATCGTAATTGCTGCTAACTCCTTCCAGTCTTTCTTTTATGTCGGTGACGGTAAGCGGCCAACTTGTTCATCGAAGAATAAAGAAGGCTACTGTGACTTGTCAGATGTCGAAATTCACTATTGTAAACTCTGCAATCTTTATGTTTGTAATCTAGGATCAATCGAAAATATGAATAAAGGCGCATATGCGAAAAATGATCTTTATAGAAGTTTTCACGAATAAAGAAATGCGTGATAGTTTATATCTTATCCATTCTTGATAACATTAAATATCATTTTTATTTAGTTTAATTTTTCTTTTTCCAATAGAAAAGAATTCGTCCATCGTTAAATCAATCATCAGAGATACGATACGAATGATTCTTTATTGAGTTTAGTTCACGCTATGTCATTTTATAAGCGATTTCGAGAATACTTGAAAAATTTCAAACTGTCCCCATATTTCCTCGGTATTGTGACGAGGATTCTCTCGAGGTCGTCACAGTCGGCGAATCACGAATATGCCGCGAACGTCGTCCGCGATGTCCTATGATTCGACGTATAAAGTTGGACACACAAAGAAAGAAGGATAAATGTGTCGCGATTATCGGTGCGTAGAGGGAGCGTATGGACGCACAATACGGAGACGCGGGGTAAGAAAATGCATGGGCGGTTTCGTAATCGTGAATGGCGTGGGAGTTCATAAAGGTGTCGTTCGCATTCTGTGTGGTCGCGCGTTTAAGAACGGTGACAATGACACTGGCCAATAAATTAGAACGCCACGAAGAATGAACACGTTCTCGATATACACGCGAAGAAACAGCGTGACGAGCAGGAGCGGTCTCGCGGCGGTGAGTGAAAAGCTACTCGTTTTCCCGTACTAAAGAGAAGCCTGCGGTCGTTGATGAATGGAGCGACAAGTGACCGCGATATTATTATACGTGGGACGGCTCTCGAGCTAAGGAAAGGATCTCGACGCGCGAGATCGGGCCCGTTTTAGGGATGAAAGAGCGGCGATAATTCACGAATCACTTGGAAGACGCGTAAAATCGAGATTTTTTCGCACGATTCAACGTGAATAAAATTGAGAATATATAAAGGAGCTTGCGGCATCTTGATCAAAAAAAATTTTCGTGTTAGAAATATCTCTTGCTCCTCCATCTAAGTCTATCATCATCGATAATATTTTTATTTTTGGATTTGGTGATTTTATTTTCTTTGGTCTGATATAAATCGCTGATTTTAAACCCTCGCAAACTCGCTCGTTTTTCGCGTTAATGGCACTAATCGTCATCGATAACGAAGGAATAAATAAATCAGCGAACGTGCATTCGCCACAGGTGGTGACGCGCACGATCGTCCAGGGTGGTCTGTCAATTTCTCGCATTGTGGTATCGAGAACCGCTTCGTATCCGCAAACGAAGGATAGGGGAGGGAAAGCCGTAATATCATCATTATATTACGTCACACAGATGCGCGGATCGGGGGATCTCGAGACCAGCGTTTTTATATTGCGGTTACGGCGTCATTGTGCGCCCCGGTATCCAAAAAGGGTCCTTGGAGGACTCCCGTCGAGAGAAGGTCTGCGGCATAGCGGGGTTGCTGATTGGCTGATTCCCCTGTCAACAGCTATGGTAATCTGTACGCATTTCCTGCATATCTTCCTTTTCCAATCCCTGATTGTCACCTGCCGACTTCGCAAACGAGACGTCTTTGACGGATTTTGAAGAATATGTCACATGGATAAAGTTAAAGATCATTACTGGGTTCTTTATATAATATATAACTATATTGTATAAAAGTTCGAATAATATATAAAAATTGTTTCAAGAAGGGAAAGTAATTTTTGTTTAAATTTAATTAAATTATTTCTTCGCACATATTTTCGAATATATTAAATAATTTAAAGTGAATATTACTAGGCTAGAAGATGAAAATTATGTTTAGTACTTTAACTCACTCTGAACATTGTGACACTCGTAATCGCAAAATATCGAACATAATCAAATTGGCATAAATGGCAGTCATATTGTTAAAAGTGAATATGTTTGTCTAGTTTTCTGTATAAAATTTAAGAAAAAAAATTAATAGTAGTAGTTGCATCTGATAAAAAGGAATTGCGGGCGATAAACTGTTCCTGTAATCGAGAAAACGAGGGAAAATGTTGGCGAATCATGCTGGAACCGCTAATAGCTTTGACGGTGCTGAATTGTATTTTCATGTTCAGTTCCACAGTTACGACCTGTGCATTATGGTAATAATCCGTTCCGAATTATTTTCTTATTTAAATTTTAATCTATTAAAATATTAATAAAATTCTCAATATTATGCAAGTTATGATTATGCCATTACACTAATAATTTCATATATTAGGTGGCAATATCAGGGCCATCGTTGTTGCGCCAGGAAGACTGCTTGTCAATCAAGAGCTGATTTAAAAAGATCGAAGAGCTATATCTTACGAACTGCCAAAAAGTCAGGAAAATCAGATTTTAGTGGCAATGGTGACGTTAAAGTTGTCAGCAATTCCAATAGAAACGGTAGTCGCGAAAGCAGAAATAAAAATGGTCAGAAGAAAAAATCTAAGAAGAGTTTGAGATATTTGGCGGAATATCAGAAGAAGAGCGGAGGGAAAATGCCACTTCCGTGATTGCATTTTTTATATATACTACTCCTTTCCTTTTATTTAATTTTTCTTTTTTGTGTGTTCTTTATTTTATCAATATTATTATGCGTCATCGTTTTATTAGATTTGCATTTTAGAAATAGACTAAAAGCAAGGAAACTCGATGAAAAAACAAATATGTCGGAAGCTTCTCAGACACTAAATGATACGAAATCGACAGTCGTAATGGAATTTTCAACAGTCCAAAAAGTCGTGCAGATTGTTGACGATTCAGACGTTAATTCAACGCGACCTCCTTTCAAAGATATTATCATTCAGAAAGATACAATGGACAGAAAACGTGATTATAATGTTAAGCAGAATTTCGAGAGCAATCTAGCCGCTGCTGAAAATCCTTAACAAATTGTAACAAGTTAATAAATTAACGATATAACTCATTATATATATCGTAAATATTAAAATTAAAATTAATATTGTTATAAAATTAATATAATATTTGACATAATTCGCTTTATTTGTTGTCGCGTATTTATTTTTATTTGTACACTTGTAAATGTGAATAAATAGCTCTTCTTAATAAACGGTAGGATATTTCAAAGACTATATATATGCGTTTTTATGTACTTAACAGTATTGCTATCGGTTCTACTAAACGTTTAACACGTTCTCTATTATTATTCGATAATTTAATTTGATTGGCATATTTCAAGTTTATTTTCGATTCTTGGAAACAGATGATGTCAGATACCTCAAGATCTTTTAGAGACATATTCGCTTTTGTCTGCTTCCAAAATTTCGTTGCTGTTCTTGCTGTTCAGAAAACTGTCCGACTTATTGTAATTATTCGAACATTTGACCGGTCTGTTACATATTGGCGAAGTTTTCCTATCCTTTTTTAAGCATCGACATGCGTTTCTACGTTCTCCCAATGATCGATTGCATATTTTTTCTCTGGGACACGAACGATGGTCTCGTCGATCTTCGTCATTGCGTTCGAAGCACGAGAAATCTCTAAATCGTCGTGCACGAACTGAATCAGCTTTCACGCATCTCGGAAAATCACGCGAACGTACTTTACGGTGTTTCACAATCGACTTTCTGCGTACGCAACACTCGCTCGAATCCACTTTCCTAAGATTTTTCGAGAATTTTGGAAAACTAAAAAGAAAAAGAAAAAAACTAATTTGGCCGAAGAAGCATGCAGAATATGCTCTAGCATATTCTTACGGATCAGTGATTGGCTGGCTGTTACGAAGTCGTACCATACCGAAAAGAGAATGCACCAGATACATGTTATGCAGGCGCTGTTGCATATGGTAATGCAGTCCACCATCTCGCGAGTCGACGAAAACTTTACATTTCGCGATTTTTAGAACGACGTTTCATGCTCTGACAGCTGAATCCAATTTTTCTAGATATAATGATGGAATTTCCAATGCAATTATTAATAATGACACCGCTATAAATTGTGCTAGAAGCATAACAACGTAACGATAACACGTGAAGTATAGAAAGAATCATTGGTCATCGCGTCCGTCAGCTGTCAATCAGTGATGCAATGAATTACAATGAATGTTAATTACAACCGAGAAAATGTAATTAAATCTTTCATCAGTTGAATGTTACGTCAAATCGTTATATCTTTCAATTGTTGATTCCCAAATGAATTTGAAATGTTAAAGATTATCGAGTTATGTAGCTGCGCCTATCTCACGCTTTTGTATTCAAAATGCGAGTTTTGCTCATTTACATCTGTTTATGAATCGACAGCCACTTTGATTGAATATTAAGCAGCGAACTTTAGCAGCGTTCAAAGTACAGCAAATTTTCTGATATATATATATCATATATAT